GGAACGCTTGGAGGTGAGTTTTAATAGTTAGAGTTCCATTTCTCATCCTCTTTTCTCTGTTTCTGAGTTTCCTTGGGTTCTCATAGAGTTCTTCCATGTGTTTTAGGCCACAATCTGTGTAGGGAGCACGTCCGTAGTCGAATCCAAGTGTGGGTCTTCAATCCAACGTAAGAGGGGACTCTACCTATCTCAAATGTGTTGTAATTCTTGTGTGTTTTGTTAATTAATGCAATGTGGCTGAGATAGAGAGTAGGAATTGTGTGTTTGATGGAAATTAGTGTGCAATGTGATGTATGCTGGAATAGTTAAGCTCCATGGGGTGATTGTGTGTGATAGAATGCTATTGATTGGTAAATTAATGTTTTTGTGGATAAAATATGGGCTATGTGCCGAGTACTGTGAATTGAATATAGGCTGTGTGCCGTGTGTAAGCATGAATATTGCGTGTGTGAACGAAATGTAAGTGAATGAGGCGTGTAGCACTGTTGTAATGTGCTGTGAATGGTTTAACGATACACTGGAAGATAAGGACGGTAGAAATACCTTGAGGAAGAGGGAGTGACAGTGACACAGACTATGGAACAGGTGCACCACGGGCCATACACTCTCTTCCTGACTAGACCTCTGACTGCTACTTTTGCTGAGCGACCCCTGACTGTCCACGTGGTATTCGTGAGGCGGGGGTAACCGGCAACCATTCATGGTGTAAATATGTGATCACAGTGCCACAGTGAGTGTGGCTAGCGTGCATATGCATGAGTTTATGTATTGTACTTATGGATGTGAAATGCTACCAATGTCGTGAGTGCATCGATGTTAAATTGACATGAGCTGTGTGATAATACTACCTGTGACTGTGTTTGTTTAATGTATTGGAAATGAGTTAGAAGTGAGACTCTATGCTTGATTGTGGTTTGGTAGTGTAGAGTACTCATCCTTACATTCATTTTTCAGGTAATCAAGACGATCAGCACCAGAGTCAGTGAAGGGGTGGATGGAACTATTATAGGACTTAGGATATTATTTTGGAAAACTCTTGTATTTGAATAAGTCCTGTAGTAACTATTTGACGTAATTTGTAACCCCTTTTCTTTATTTGAAATGTTTGATGAAACTTGGATTACAAATGGAAGTTTTATTATTTCAAAAATTTGCAAAATTCGTTATTTATTGAAATTAAATTTAAGGTGTTACATATCTCACGCCTCTTTTGAAGATTTAGCATTAGCTATCTTCTCAAAGCTTAACTTGTCGACAACTTGGTATAGCAAGTATAGAGCCACCTTGTCCTTTGCTTGAACAGCCTTCAACACATTCAGCTGGGCATTTGAATACCCCTCGATGGTCACCAATTCCTCATGCCCATTCTCGACCACATCCCAGTTGTCTTGGGAGCCGAGAAGGGCCTTCATCTGCACCTTCCAGTTGTCGTAGTTGACACCTTTAGTCAACTTGGGTAGTGGAATGCCATTAGTTAAACCTACCATCTCTCTCAAATGTATACGCTCGACTCACACACTCACCTCATGTACACAAGCTTTGATACCAATCTGTTGGCAACAAGAGGGCAATATGACAGCACATAATCTCTTTAAGTTTATGTATATACTACAACGTGCAAATAAAATATTACAAGATTTATATAGGCAAGGCATTTACCTTTTCATATTCAAAATACACATCATGACATTTAATATGAGATTTGCGATCCTATGCTACCTACTCTTAGTTTTGCCATCCCATGTTTAAAAACAATAATTATATTCTAGAAACAACTAAGCATTTGAACTTTACAACAGATTTGTGTATATATGGTTATGGATCTTAAATGTACATTTTCAATATCACTGAGTTTATGAGAATTAAACACGAATAGTGCAGCAAAAAATCAAACATCCTAAATTGTTTTTGAGACACACACGTTACAAAGCAAAAAAAAAAATAAAAAAAATAAGAATTATCTTTTACATGAGCACGAACATGGTAATAACAACTGCATTCTTATGGAAGTCTACAATAACACTCTCACTAGAATCCTCTTTTGCTGTTATGCTAATAGCCCATAGAAGACAACGATAAAAAGAGAGACTGAGACAAAGCGTGACAACTATGATTTCTCCAAAAAGTATCTTGAATCTCAACATATCATGCTTTATTTATAAGCAGCGGCTATGACTAACCTTAATTCTCTCTTACCTAGTACAGCTAGGCTCATTCTTAACTATCCTATTCTTCCTTTCACTCACTCCATTCTGTTGAGGAGGGTAAGAAACAATTAACTGATCGATGCTGAATTCTAGCTTGTTCCCCTACTATGTAAAACTTTTATCTCTCATTTGAATTGACATTAGTTCACATCCAGGTGACAACACATCTGAAGGATGATCAAGGCTCTCCCACAACACATGCTTCATAGATCCACTAGCATCATATTCTCCAAGGACCAAGTTCCGAGAATCTAAAAAGATGACATCATTTTTGTCACCAGGTAGAATATGTGAGTAAAGTATATTATGGGGTTGCCACCTTGATGAGTGATGATCAAAGCACTTGAATGATTCAATGTTAGAAACCCAGAATCACTGTCAATATGGTCATTTCCTTTGGCAATCCAATCAGCATATCCAGTAGAAGTTGTGTTTCTAAAGACAAAGAAAGTGTAAGTGGGTAGTACTACTAAAGAACTGAAAATTTCAAATTGAACTTATGGTTTGGCGAGTACAGTGTACTTGAGTAATCAAATATCTCTCCTGGCTTTAAAATGTTCCTCACTGAAGCACAAGTGAAAGTGGTAGTTTGCAAACACAGCAGTGAGAAAATAACTGTGAGGGTTGTTATAATACCATTTTCGTGGAGCGTCATTGTAGACTTTCGATTTGTTGACGAAAACTATGAAATAAGTTTAGGCAAGTTAGCTAGTTGCACTACTCTTTGGTACCACTACTATTTTAACACCTTGGCTGCAAACTATATAAAGCTGAGGGCTTCAAAATTTTGTTTATTTTTGAAAAAAGATTTAATATTTCAACCGCTAAATATTAATATTGTATGTGATGTTATATATTATTATTAATATTATTATATTTATTTTATTTTTTCCATATAAATAAAATTTAAAATGTTAACCAAATATAAAAAGAGACATAAAAATATATATTTTTAGAGGTAGATTGAAACATTTTCTTTTGAAAAGACTGCTGCTGCTTTGTTTGATGATGAGATGAAATAAAGAAAAATATTTAAAAATAAAAATTAGAGTAGAAATAAAACAGAAGAGAAAAATAATTCTTTATGTTTAGATAAATTAAAAGGAGAGTGAAAAGAAATAAATAGATAATATAAAAAATATTTTTAATAATAAAAATTAAAACTTCAAATATAATTTTATTATATAGCTTTGATTTTTAAAATTATTTTTATATCTTTTTATTATTTATAAAGATTACTTAACTCTAAATTAAACTTAAAAAAGAAAAAAAAAACTCTCTATTTTTCATTTCACGGCGTCAATGCGAAGAAAGTTTTACTGTGGGTATCATCGTCTGTGTTTATTGCACTCAAATGTTTCTTCTTGTAATTTCTTTGTATCCAACCAATGCATGCCTGTGTATTTAGAGAAAAAATCATAAGCATTAAAAAAATATAATAATAATATCAAAATAAACATAATTTATAATTATTTAAAAACGTATATTCTTTTTTCTTATCGCACGGATATCCTCCATTAAAGGGGAAAAAACATACTTTTTTTTAATGTCATGTAACACATCCTTTTAGTTTTATTTATAAAAAGAAAGTAATTTTGTCGGCCATTTCAATAAAACTTGCTGAAAGTTGAAGAAAACTTGTCAATTGGCCCACTTCTTTTCCTTCAATAATAACATCTTAAGTTACTCCCTTTTAAGACAAGTCGAAGCAAAGATTAAATGTCCCTAACCATTAGCTCAAGTCAATTTCAGATCATGGAAAATGACAAGCATTTTCGCAAGTCACAAAGAGGGCTCAGTTCCACAACAACTTTAGAGCATTCATCAAACCATTTTTTAACAATAAAGTCATTCCTTGTACTAAATATTTATACATAAGTAAATAAACATTGTTGGGATCACTCAAACATGATAATGGCATGTTTTAAAACCACATTATGAGAATCTAATTTTTTTTAAGGTACGTACTTTTGGCTGTGGCTGCACTTATTGACTCATTCAGGAGATTTTTTCATTTAAAAAAGAAAAATAGAAAATTGATCAATACGAGGGAGGCATACCTAATCCATAAACAATTCTAACATAATTAACATAATGCTCTAAACGAGGAATCTAATTCTGAAACATACATCTTTCCTTTGTGTACGATTGATTGTCACTATCCAATTCTAAGATAACAAACTTAATTAAGTTGAAAACAACAAATTCCTAAACAAGCCAACAGGACAAAGGGCTAAATGCATTATATTTAAAGGTTTATGAAGGTCATGAATCAACAACAAAGTATTAATGATATTTTTTTTGTATTATCATATATGTCCGTAAATACACAGTGAGGCATGCAAAAGGATCAAGCCACCATTCTAAACAAAGGCATCCAGTACCTCTAAGAGAAAATAGCCATATTTTTATTGTGTTTAAACCTGTCTACTCCATACACCTCACTACAGTTTAGAACTTTCAAAGCAAGCTTTACCATCAAGAAAGTTTTGAGACACATCTAAATATTCCAAGTACTTGAAGAAAATACAAGATTAAACTACAAGTCATTTGAACTGCATTTAGATAATTGAATTGGACAAATAATATTTAAGATTCAAATGCTAATATGTATTTTTTTGTTTATAAGTATATTCTACAAAAGAAAATATTAATCAAGTCAATAAAATTTACAATATATAGAGACTAGAGCTCTCAGTAGGAATTTCTTACATACATAAAATTTAAGCTCGACACTTACTTGAAGAGAATCAACCATGTACACTTGAATCAACTATGCATTCATTTATAGGTTTATCGTTCACCTACATTGGAAATAGTCAAACCATTCACCGAATAAGTTTCATTGTGGTTAATGGAACTAAACTCCTCACTAGAATTTCTTCCATGATAAAATGCTGGTCTTCTAGGCAATGGAAGTGCTGCACTTTCACTAGTCAACATGGGTACTATCTCTGACATGGTTGGACGATCAGCTGCACTTTCTTCTACACAAAGAAGACCAACATGAATGCATCTTAATGCTTCATCTTGAATAAACAATTTTGGCAAAGTTGGATCCAATAAAGCTAGTCCTTGGCCTTGTTTCCATAGCTCCCAAGCCTAGAACATTAGCACAAAACATATTAGAACTTAACAAAATAAATAATTGAAAATTCCCTCTTTAAATTGACTAATTAGTAGTAATCCAATAGCCTTAGTAGAACATACATGTCCTACTAGATTGAGTGGTCTTTCAGCATTGTAGAAGCTGCTATTCCTTCTACCACTAATAATTTCGAGTAGTAAGACTCCAAAAGCATACACATCTGATTTGATAGAGAAAATGCCCTCCATGGCATACTCAGGTGACATGTAACCACTACATGATATCACATAGGACATGAATTTTTTAGATGAGAAATAAATAAAAAAAAATCATTTGGTATAAATAAGTAATGATAGAATGTTTTAAGCTTACTCACTATGTCCCAACAATCCTTTTTGTGTTTAAATTTGATTCTTCTTGTGAGAAGACTCTGGCCATGCCAAAATCTGAAATTTTGGGATTCATATTTGCATCAAGAAGAATGTTACTAGCTTTCAGATCTCTGTGAACTACTCTCAATCTAGAGTACTTATGTAGATAGAGTAATCCTTGTGCAATTCCTTCAATTATGTTGAAACGTTTTCTCCAATCTAGCATTTTGCTTTGAGTAGAATCTTCCCATTAGAAACATGAAATATAGTAAGTTTAAGAAGAAAAGAAAAAGATGATATATGCAAGATCCAGTTTTATCTTTTAGAGAAATAATTCCTCACCAAATAAAAAGCAGTCCAAGCTCTTGTTAGGCATGTACTCATAGATTAACATTCTCTCATCTCCATCAATGCAGCACCCCAACAACTGAACAAGATTCATGTGTTGGAGTTCAGATATGAGTATTAGCTCATTTTTAAACTCAACAACTCCTTGTCCTGAATTTTTTGAGAGTCTTTTTATTGCTACTTCTTGTCCTTGTGGTAATAGACCCTGCAATTATTGATGATCAAAAAATTGTTATGGTTTGTTTTCAGGTACTAGTCTTTAAAAAATATTAAGAAGGTTTTCAAGCAATAACCTTATACACAGGTCCAAATCCCCCTCCTCCTAACTTGTTTTGTAGTGAGAAATTGTTTGTAGCTGCCATGATTGATTCATAACTGAGAGTTCTTAAATCGTTCCCACTGTTCACTTCATTTTGAAGTTCAGTAAAACTATTACTTCTATCAGACACCATGAGATTAAGCTTGTCATTATGCATTTTGCTTCTCTTCCTCTCTGATGAGGTAAGAATGTGACAAAAACAAGGTTAAGATTTTGAAGAAAACCAAACTGTATTAAATGCAACCCAATGTTGCACTCTATGAACTAATTTGAGAAGCATTTACCTTGATTTGCTGCTTTTCTTCTCCTATGGCTTAGGCAGAAAATCCCAAAGCTAATTAAGAGTAATGCTGATCCTGTCGGAACACCAATTTTTATCCACTTCATTTCTGCATTACATAAACAATCACAAAGTACTGTCAGCACTATTTAAAGCAATCATGTGAATGATTTTATCTATTTGATATAAATAAAGTACAATTTGTGTTTTATTATATTTGGTTAAGCAGTGGACACCAACGTGATTTACTGATTTTGAGTAAAAGAAATCATGTTTAGTTGTAGAAGTTTGCTCTGAAAAGCTAGAAGGCATGGATAAGACAGTGTTTATAGGACATGAAACAGTTATAATACAATGTATAAAATTAGTCTAAAATTAACATAAAATATAAATTTTAAGTTACAAGAGAGAACGTATTTTTAAAAGTGAGTATGAATCATTATAGCCATAATAAAATTTATATAGTTATTGTATTATTTCAATTAATATTGGTATAAAAATTTGAAGAGAAAAAAGGTAAAAATAAAAAATTATAAAAAATACATTAAAAAAAAGTATTTGAAGTGTCAATACAGTGTTGAACAGATATCCAACATGATTGCAATATGATCCGACTACCATCTAGAAGTGTCCATGCATCTTAACATGAAAGGATGTATGAGTAAAAGTAAAAAAGAAAATATACCTCTTTTGTTAGGTTACAAACTTTATAATAAGTTTAATTACAAAATTAAATTTTTGAGAGAAAAGTTTTTAAATATAAACTACTTTTATACAAACTCAATTTTAATTAAAATCAATTTTGCAAAATCAGTACAATCGAAAATAAAGTTTGCAAAAGCTCACCCAAAAAAGTACTTTGACAAATATATTAATTAAAATGAAGCTTGTAGCCTTACCTTTGCGTGCCTTTACAAGAATGTGGATACTTAATGTAGATGCCTTTACTTTAATTGGCACCCAATTTCCATAATAATATATACACCCAGTTTGATTGGGAAAATGAGGTGTGAACCCAACACAACTACAATTGTTCCAGCAAGTATCTTCACAATCACTTTCAAATAATTTGATGTCATTGTCTTTTATGAAAAATCCTCCTTGAAAGGATTGGTGATCAAAATATCCAAAATCAACTTCAAATTTATCATTGGGATGTCTACACTTGGGTTGATCAGATATTTGGCAACCATCTTTGGTGTTGAAGGAGTGGTAACAAGAATGAGAATGAACAATGGTAGCATCCATTCCTGTATCCTTTACATTCCCATCCTGAAACAGAACCCACTGGGATTGATCATTGCGACTTGTGTAACTGAAGGACTCCTCATCCTTATTTGAGACAATTTTGTACTCATACATGAGCTGTATTTTCTTTGGAATGTTCTCAAAAAATCTATTCTTTCTTAGCATCCCACTTTCCCAATACACTTTTCCTCTCCTCTTAATGATCAATTGGTGTGTTTTTGGATCCCATGCAAGTTCAAAGCAACCTATACTTGGGTGACCACTAGAAACTGATGCCACAACAGACCATGACTTATTAGTCTTATAATTAACACCTAATTTCATGCCAGGTAGCAACACATCTGAAGCATGATCAAAGCTTTCCCACATCACATGCTTCATATATCCACTAACATCATATTCTCCAAGGATTAAGTTCCCAGAATCCAAAAGGGTGACACCAACAGTTTTTTCACTAGGTAGAACCGGTGTGTACAAAGTTATAGGGTTGCCACCTTCACTAGTAATTGTCAAAGCACCTGAATGGTTCAATGTTAAGACCCCAGAATTGTTTTCAACAGGGTCATTTCTATTGGCAATCCAATCTACATATCCAATGTTTTGTGTGATTCGAATGACTAAATAAGTTTGCCTAGGATCAGACTCAAAAGCTGTGAATTTGAGACAGAACTTACCCTTTGGTGACCATAGTGTACTTGAATGATCAAATTGCTCCCCTGGCTTTAACATGTAACTCATCCCAGCACAAGTGGAAGGGGTAGTTTGCAAACACATCAACGAGAAAATAAATATGAGGGATGTTATAATATCACTTTTGTGTAGCAGCATCATTGCAGACTTTTACACTTTTCAAGAGAACTATGAGATGAGTTTAGATAAGGAAAACTCTATATGAACTTTTAGATCCTAGTTAGTGACCAAAGGAAAATAACCTGGCTAGTTAGTGCACTACTCTGCTACCACTGCTACTTTAACACCTTACCTGCAAAGTGCATACTATAATATTTGTTTGGCAAAACATAGGTCTTGTTAGGAACTGTTTATTAATTAAAATTAAAATTTTACTTTTATAAAATATTTATATTTAATGTTATTGTAGATTATTAAAGCAAAACTCTAAATTTAATTGATAAATAACCCTGAAAGCACTTAATTTTTATCTTATTTATTTAAAAAATAGTTTAAATATTTAAATTAACAAAACTGACATTTTATGTGACATGTATTATTGTTTTACATTTTATTTTCTTCTATGGATATCTCTTTAAAGTATATTTTAAATATAAAATAGGCACTTAAAGATGCCTATTTTTTCATGACCAAAATAAAATATATTTTTTAAAATTATATCTGTATTTAAAAATACGTTTGTAAATTAGTAAATATTAATTTAATATAAAAGATATAAAAAATTAATAATTATTTAAAAGTAATCCAAAACACCCACTGTTTTTATTCTGAATGCCATGTGACACGCCTTTTTATTTATAAAAGTTGAAGTAATTTTGTCGGCCATTTCAATAAAACTTGGAAGAAAAGAACACTTAAGCAAACTCACTCTGAAAGATGAAGAAAACGTGTTGAATTGAAAAGAAAAATAAAAAAAAATGACTAAAATTGAAATAATGACGGAAAATAAAGTAATTGAGAATTTACTTAAGAGCTGTCTAGTCCTTTGACAGTGACAATCATGGATAACTTTATACAGGTTTGAATAATAAAGTTTCAATTCATATTATATTATAAAAGTTATTATTAATAGATAAATGATCTTAACAACGGAGAAATTTTAATAACAATTTCTAATAACTTTTACAAGTCATAGCTATTTGTAATGATCCTCTACCAGTAGTTATTTCTATCCACTTAATTTTCCTTATCTTAAAATCTTTCATTCAATCACTATCCTGCTAAAGTGAAATATATTTTTTGTTATAGTTAGTTAAAATAAAACAATTTGAAATAAAGTTTACAATTTTTAAGGTTTGTAAAAAAAAATTGAAACTGTACATTAACTTAAATAATTTATTTCAATTATATTTAACTTATTTTATTTTATACTTTTATCTTACAGGATTGTAATGTGTTTAAATTTTAACTTTTTACATTAATTCTTTTGTTGTTATTGTGTTATAAGAACAATTAAGATTAAAAAAAATTTAATGTATATTCTTGTTGAAAAGACAAAACATTAAATTAATTTTTTAAAAATTATATTAATTTTAATAAAATATTAATTTTATCATTTAAATATTATTCTATTATTTTATTTTTCTCCAATATTAAATACAGTGACATAAAATTATCTATTTTACTAACTTAGTTTACATCAAATTTAATACAGGAAAAGAGTATATCCTTAGTTTTATCCTATTATATCATTATCTAACTATCATATTTTATCTTTTCTTATCTTATTATATCCACCAAATTTTTATACTTTAATCATATATAAATATACATACCTGTAAATGTAACTTTTTTTTTTGTTTGCAAATGAATGGGAAACTCTTTTCATTATGTTAGCACTTGAGTCATGATCGTGTATAAACAAAAGGAACATCAACTTGATTTGTTCAATACCGATCTAAGAGATTCCTTATCTCTTTAAATTTAGTCTTGAATAGAGTTTGTAATAGGAAAATAGGGAGACCTTTCAAGCATTGAATATCATTTGTGGTGCCAATATTTCCACAAAAACCACACATCCACTTCTCGAAGTTCTTCTTGAATTGCAAAATGCATTTTAGGCATCACAATGATAAAAACAAGTCCAAAACTCAAAAGATTTTGTTGGAAACCCTAAAAATAAGAATAGGAAAAAGGATAAACAGAAAAGCTTTGTCTTATAAGATATTTTGAATGCTAGCTTCCGCCCTAGTATTATTATTAAAAAAATTTATCATTTGTTAACAAAAGTATTTCTGTTCACAATTATTGTTCAAATAATGAAATTCATTACATAATGGTTCCATCTTTATTGTTTAGCATCCTGGTAAAGTAGACAAACCTATATAATTTGAATAAGAAAAAAATTAAAATTGAATAATAATATTTGTGTTAGTTTAATAAATAAAGAGAAAGAAATAACATTAAAAACAAAAAAAAAATCTTTTATTTAAAATTGAAAACTCTCTCTCTCTCTCTCTCTCTCTCTCTCTCATAATTGGTCTTTTTCTTTGAAATAGAGGATAAAGTTGTAGAAAGGTAAGATATAAATATGGATATTAATTAACACAAGTTGAAAATTGGAAGTTGTAGAAAAATGATTAATTGAAGCAAATTTTAATCTTATTATGCTAGTTCTCTCTCTCATTGAGAGCATCCCCATTTTTATTTTATTTTTTTGAATAATTTGATCAATTTTTACAAAAGCAACTAAGAATTTAAAATCAAAATTGTGTTATTGTAATGAAATAAAAATATATATTATAAAAACAATTTTTTTTCGAATCGCGGAAAATATCTAACTATAAATATTGCTTCGAAGTCAAATAGCCCAAATTATCAAGGTATCTTCCTATGCTAACTTCAGAAGCATGCCCTATAGTATCTTGTGAAGAGAAAATGGTAAGGACGAAATTCTTAGAAATGAAAAGTAGAGCATACTGCAAAAATTAACTTAATTATAGTGTGTAATTTTAGTGTTTTAAGATTATTTTTAGCCAATTAAATCACTTTATTTTTAAAATTGTGTAAATTCAGTTTCCATCAATTTTATTTTACCTAAAATCCCTTAAATTTTATTTTTTATTTAATTTTATTTTTATAAATTATATAGATGAAATTTTCTTTCAAAATTAACTAACTAAAATATCAAATCAAGACAAAATTTAAAAAATTTAAACTTTCGTTTTTTTTTTCTTCTCAAACCCTAATCTGACATCTTGTAAAATCTTTTAAATTTTATCAAAAACTAAAAAAATTTAAAAAAATAAAAAATTAAAAGTTTTAAATAGAATAAAATTGATGGGAGATTTAATTTTTCACAATTTTAGAGATAGAGACTTAATTAGTTTAAAAAATAACTTAAGGGGCCAAAATCACACAACTCAAATTAAAAGAAGTAAAAGTGCAATTATGTTTTTTTTAATATTATTTTATTTTATATTTTAAAGAATTTTATACAAATTTAGTTTTCATCCCTTTTATTGATATCTGACAAAATATAACAAGTAACAAATTTTAAACTAATTGATTATGCGTTATTTAGTAGTGATCGAAAATTAAAAGTGTTGAAGATTTCAAGGACAAAAAATTCAACAATCTTTTATCTAGTTACTACAAGTGCCTAGCTATGCTGGCTTACCTATTGAAACACTTGAGTTCAGCCAAATATTTGTTGCAAAATTGATTGTATGCTCCGTCATGGTTAGCAAGCATTAAATTCAAGCATATATTTCGATGACATATATGGATATGACCTTGTTTGCTAAATAATATTTAAAAGTTTGTTTATAAAAGTAAAATATATTAGGAGCATCAATTGCCGGGCTTAACCCTTTCAAGCCAAGCCAAAGTTGATGAATTGTATTTCGGTATTTGTCTATACAATTTATTTTTGTACTTTTCTTATTTATACTAACTTGGTAAAAAGAAAAAGCAATACCGAAGAAGTTGCATATTCTACTAAGTTAACATCGTAACCAAAATAATTAAGAATAATATAAAATAACAATAGCTAACCATAAAATGATTATGTTGTCTTACCACAGATTCTATGTTCTACTAAGCTAATACATAGATAAACACACATACACTTGTTCTCTTTTTAATTCTGATTTTAGTCGCTTGAAATTTGACATCCATCTTACATCTCTTTTTATCGTATCACAATCACATTTATCACTTTGTAATTCCTTCCTATCACCTCATTGTAACTATAGGTGCTGTCTACAAACCAAAGGAGTGTGTACAAATCTATAACCTGTCCTTTTACATCCATCATGAATAGGTTTATGTTTTTCTTGGTTACTTTCACATACTTGTGCTTTCTGGAGAAGATTATTATCTACACTAGAGCAACTAACAATATAACATCAGGTGGAATGTTCTCTCCGTTCATTGATAATCTATGCTCTTCATCTTCAAACTATTGTTTGTTGCTTAAAAATTGGGTTGACGGGACCAACTTTTACTTTGTTATTTATGACCAAAGGGCTAATAATGTGGCATGGATGGCCAATAGGGATGAACCAATTGACGATGGTAATATTGCTTTTGTTAGTGTTTTAACTTTGGACTATTCAGGTGTATTGCAACTCAAAAGCAGGCTTAATGACTCAGGTTTAACTTATGAACCAATAGTCCTCCATGCATCTGAACAATCTCAAGCTATCAACAATGTAGGATTCATTGCCACATTGCTAGATTCAGGAAACTTTGTCCTGCAATCTAATGTATCCGAGAGTTTCTTGTGGCAAAGCTTTGATTACCCCACCAACACACTTCTCCCAGGAATGAAGCTAGGTGTTGATCACATCAAAAAAAGGAAGTGGTCAATTGTTTCAGATTTTCTTCCTAATGCACCTGCTCCAGGTGCCTTTGCATTTGAATGGGAACCCAAAATGAAGCAATTAATCATTCGAAGAAAAGATAAGATTTATTGGTCAAGTGGGGAACTTAGAAACAACACATTTGAAAACATTCCAGAGGAGGCCCAATATATGTATAAGTATTCTATTATTTCTAATCAACATGAAGACTCTATTACATTCACAGCTATGAACGATGGATATTATGCCCCGTGGAAATTGACCAGTGAGGGTGCATTG